TTTGATGGAAATACGTTGAAAGTATATTAAACTTCGAAATAATATCTAGATTTTATGTGACCCCCAAACGTACTGCAGACTGAAATATGATCATCACGATGGATTCCTCTCTTAACCAGCTTCCCAATGAGGGGACGCAAAAAATAGGGTTGCATTTCCATTTAAACCAAAGAAGGGAAGATTTGTATTTCGTGCAAGATAATTCATTCAATATTCGTAGCAGAGCGTCTTCGACTGTTAAGTCATCATCAGTGCATGACTCAACAGTTAAAGTCTCCACCCTGTTAGTATGTAAGTAGTATTGTGGAGACGCTACTGCCAGACAAGTAGGTCCTCATAGATCTCTCATCATGGCAACTTCTGTTTCCTACATATCCTCACATTCTTGCCCTTGTTGTTTGTATCGAACCTTCCTACTATTCAGATAAAAGGAGGCAAGGGTTGAATTATAATGAATTCTCAATTTTTGTAGCGATATACTCAACTGAGCTATCATGATAGATATTGTTGAGCAATTCAAGTGGCTCTAGATTCTGATCTAAAATATATATGAAGTTGCTTCTCCGATATTTCCAACTATGAAAAGTTATTATTTTACTGATTATTCTGACGAATCGTAAGCCAGAGACAACTTGTGTTATCGCGATAGCACTGGAACATTCAGGTATTATCAACGATAGGCAATATGGCTTCCGTCATCAGAGATCAACTGGTGGCCTGCTCGCTTTCATCTCACATATATGGCAGCAATCTATTGATAAATAAGGTGGAATCTTAGCCGTGGAACTTGATATCTCCAAGGCATTCGATCGAGTCTGGCACCACGGGCTCCTCGCCAAGCTTCCATTTTATGACTTGCCCTCCCAGTTATGTTCTCTGCTGGCTAGTTTCCTCTCAAACAGGTCTCTTCATGTAGTGGTCGACGGAGTTTCATCTGACTCTCTTATCATAAATGCTGTTTCGCAAGGATCAATTCTAGCACCAACAATATTTTTACTCCATATCAACGATTTGTTGGGAGCAACTTCATGTCCAGTACACAGCTTCGCGGATGATAGTACCCTCCATACCGTCTTCTCTCCCAAGGCTCCAATACCAGCAAGGCAAATCAAAAACAAACGAGGAAGAAATGTTGACAACATAAATGGCAACAATTCTCGAATATGGGGATCCAATAACTTGGTAGATTTCAATGCAAACAAAACACAAGCATGCCTTTTCTCTAGAAATTCTGATCTCACTGTGTCCAAAATAAGCTTGTCAGGAGTAACCATGCCTTTGAAGACATCCATTTCGATGCTTGGTATTACTATCAGCAGGAATCTTTCTTGGGAAAATCACGTGAGATCAATTGCCAGAAGTGCATCTCAAAAACTTGGTATTCTGTTTCGGGCCACGAACTATTTCACTTCCAGTCAGCTGCTTATGATCTATAAGGCACAGATCCGACCTGTCCTGGAATACTGTTTCCATATTCGGAGTGCAGCACCGAAACATACCCTGAAACTGTTGGATTCTGTTCAATAAAGGGCAATTCGTCTCGTGGGTGATGCCTCGCTCACAAACTCACTCACTTCTCTGCAAGACTGAAGAAAAGTTGGCGATCTGGCTCTATTTCATAGATATTTTCATGGACGAGGCTCCTCCGAAATATCATCAATTGTTCCTCCCTTGGCAGTCCCAGCGAGATTAACCCGTCGAGTTGAGGCTTTGCACCCCTTCGTGGTCACTTTGGAGACCTGCAGAACATCGCTTTCCAAAGACTCGTTTATTCAACGAACAGCGAGACTCTGGATCACATTGCCAAAGGAGGTGTTCCTCGAGGCATATGACCTCCACTGATTTGAGAAGAACACCAAATCCTACCTAATTTCTCTTGGTTCTCTCGATGTTCTCTGAACATTACAGGATATCCCTTTTCATGGGAACCAGAACATATAAAAAATGTCTTTCTATTCTGATTGGTCTATCAGCGTTGATGTTTTCAACGATGCAACCATGGATAGCAAATCTTCAGTTCTCAAGTCCTGTGTTTTCAAGACCAAATTGAAGATATTTCACAAAGTACCATCCCAGTATTCAACATGCCCATTGTCCTGTAGATTATACAGTGTTGATCTGCCGTTTGCATCCCCATTGGTCTGAGTGTACAAAAGCTGATGTTTCAAATGAGCAGAAGTCATTCGAATGGAATGGGTCATATTCATCCTTATTTCCAATGGTGCAGTAGCTACCACTAGAATTCGAAAGCTTATTACGAACCTACACACAAATCGAACAGATGGCAGTGATTTCTTTGATATCCCCAAGAGAATATGAGACAGACCTGTGCATAAGCCAATGGTACATGCGCGTTATACCAAGGTGGAATAATGAAGTTGCTGCAGCTCAGTAACGCCAGCCGTATTGTAAATTCGAGAGACTATGTCGGCTTTTGTATTTCTCGCTTACCTGGACGATTCACAATATCATATTCATAATTATGGTGTCAACTCGTAACTTCTTCATTCTTTATTTTTTTCACTTGGAGCGCACGAAAGGAAATTTCTATAATGATCGAAGAACATCATGCCTACTCAGGGTGGATAGGGATAACATGTGGAGATTATAAGTTCTTGAAAATACTTCCCGTGGCAAACAGTTCCAAAGCTTTGCCGTTCTACAGACGAACGAATTTTGGTAATATCCCAAGGGAATTGTCGGGTTCGTCTGACAGGTATATCTAGTGATGGAATGGAATCAGAGATTTCTGAGGAACATTTTCTATGGAAGTATCTATAGAAAACTGAAAGGTCGCAGACTTTTTTATGGTGTTCTAATGAGGCCAAAGAACTAGTGAGTGTGGCATCAGCCATCAGGCGCAAGTCTCTTCTCTGGATGGAATCTAAGAGCATCAGCGTGTTTGAGTGCCAAATTCCATATATGAGAACAGCATTCTAGTACCAAAATTAATTCATGTGGAACGCCAGAATTGATGGCAATGTTATCAGACGATACTCCGTTCACCACCACATGAAGCGATCTGCTTGAAAGAAAACTCGATGAAAGGTAGCATTGCTGGGGTGATAAACCGTATGATGGTTGTTTGTAGAGGAGTCCTTGGTGCCAAATATGGTCGAATGCTTTTGAAGTATCTTACGCTACAGCAAGAGATTTTCCACGTCTTCCTGATGAAGCTTGAAATATATGGGTGACGTAGACAAGTGAATCTCCAATTGATCTTTGGTGGCGAAAGCCATATTGTGTATCATCAATGGTTCCTGAGCTTTTCAGATATTTGCGATAAGCTCAATGTTGATGGCTTTCTCCATCACTTCGGAAATAACTGATGAAATGGCAATATGCATATAGTTGTTGGGCAGGCTTTCGTTTCCTATCATATGAATTGGTTGGACTCTAGCTATTTTTCAGCAAGATGGGAAAATATCCGATTCGTACGAGATGAAACATAACTCGTTCAATAGATATAAATCAATGTTTGTCGTGGCATATAGCAAGGAAAGTAGTTGTTTCCTGTTGAATAAACAGATAAAGAATTGATATTTTAATCACATAGATAATGCGAATCCTCAATGTATTTGTTCATATGTATATCTATTTTCTCATTCTTTTTTATGTTCATAATTTTTCTGAGAATATTCCTTTCCAACTCTTTCGATATCTTCTTCCACTCCAATGTGAGAATTGGTATTAAAGTTCAACATCAAGGATGAAAAACGTAAGTCTGCCCAAGTCTTTCCACGACTTGAGGTATTATATTTGTTCGGATATTCTAAATTTTTTTTTTGATTATTTAAGGAAACAGGTCAAAGCCTTTGAGGATATTCGCCAATATTTTGTGATTTCTGACTTTGACATTGACCTTACGTTTTATTAGCGCCAACTGGTGAGACTGACAATGCCCTCATTGGGGTGATTTGAATGTTATGTTTTTATGTCAAGCCGCGACTCACAAAACTCTCTGAACTTTTTGTGTCCAACAGACAACGACATACATGGTATTTTGCTGACAGTACTAACAATCACAGTTCGATTGAACTAAAATGAAAATCCAGTCACAATAGCTAGAACCACAGCTGCCTGGCGACAATATCTTTTTTTGGGATTTACGAACATACACGTCTTCCAATGTTTTGATAATGTCCTCTTATGTTGAAAATCTTGCTATACCTCGAGTCTATAGGCGTCGGAGTGACAACAACAAAATTCTCAAAATGTCGCCAACCAGTAAGTAAATTCCATGCCAGCACTAGGAGTAGACAGACTCGTGTTCAACTTCTCAGGCTTTGAATACTGGCTGAATCGAAATCAATCGGCATTAGGAAAAGAAACACTTGCATTAGTATTCGTTTATACGTATCCATCCATGCATAGATTTCGAGAGGATGTAACATCAATATTTTGCGTGGCTCTGTCCAGGACAGTAGGTGTTTTTCTCCCGCCATTTTCCATTCTTGTAGATTTTATGAACGTTCGTGGAAATGACTTTGAACTGTTTTGTATTTATCCAACATTTCATTTGAATTTGAGCATCGTGGCTATTTTGAAGTTGGATTTATTTATACCCCTAAGGTAGTGAAGGATATCATTATTCTCCAGGGACCAAGATTATATCCAGATGCATCTGTCGAGAGATATAAGGTCCAGTGGTAATAATATTCTTGTAGCTATTACCATGACGGCATAATATGACAAATCATTATTGATAAATACCTACTAGATTCCAGTGTCAATCCTACGAATTCCTCTCCAGAAAAGGGAATGCTGGTTAATCATAACAGTTGTTATTGACTATTTGTTCATAAAATGATGAAAACTACCTTGGTAATAAAACACACTTTCACGCCTTTTGAAGGAGTAAATAATGCTTGGTTCTATAGCTAGTGGTGGAAAAAAGAAAGAACCAGAAATCATTATAAGCTTTCATTAGTAATAACGCGATCAGCACTCCTTAATACTGTTGAGAATTATTAAAATAGGATACTATGTATATGATTTGTTACCTTGACATTGATTGTTATTGAATAAATAGTCTTCTTGAAATACAAGACTTGTCAGTCATTCCCTTATTAAAAATCTTCACTATTCATCTAAGAATTAACAAGTTCATCAGGTCATGGGCCCAGAACGTTCATAAAGTCGTCTGGAACAACTTGTGAGAAGATTTTGAAGGTATTTATCTGAAAGTTCCTCTTGTGATAAACATTTATATACCGAGTGTTGAAATTTGACGTCATGGCTAGTTCTTCGACTTTACCGTCCTTTGACAAGTTGAAAGGCAGTGAGAATTATAAAACTTGGAAATTTGCCATGGAGCTATATTTATCTGCCGATGATCTTTTTCGATATGCTGCTGGTTCAGTAGAAGATTTCGACGCTAATGTAGACCAAAAAGTCAGAGGAAAAATAGGTTTGATGGTAGAACCACAACTCTATGTACACTGGGTTGGAACGAAAACTGCTAAAGAAGCCTGGACAAATCTCAAAAAGATGTTCGAACCATCTGGTTTGATCGGACGTCTCAGCCTTCAACGTCAGCTTATGGCATGTAAACTTCATGATTTCAAAGATGTGTCATCGTATGTTTCTGAAATCGTAATGTTGTCTCAGCGATTATCAGATATGAATGCACCTGTAGATGATGAATATATTGGAGTTATAATGCTGAGTGGGCTTCCTATATCGTACGATCCATTGATCATGGCATTGGAGAGTAGCGGTCAGAAAATCACGAGCGAGTTAGTGAAGAGAAAATTATTAACAGAAGATCAGCGGAATAAAGAACGTGAGAGTAATGATACTGCTTTTGTAGTCAAGACTCAACAGAGATATCAGAAGGCGAATTCAGGAAGAAAGAAGTCGAATTTTCCTTTCAAATGTACACGGTGTAATCAAAAAGGGCACAAGCGGAGTGATTGTCCAGAGGAGAAGAATTCAAGACTTCCTGATTCTACGACAAAGGCAGCGTCTTCCTCTGCCATCAAGCAATGTGAGAATAAACGGGACTTCAGAGCTTTGTATACTGCATATAAGGCTGATAATGGAGCGAAAGAACATGGATGGTTTATTGATTCTTGTGCTTCTTGTCACATGTCGAATCGGCAAGACTGGTTGACAAACTTCCGTCCTGAGGTTTCTGAGGTAGTCGTAGCAGATGATGCTGTATTAAAATCAGTAGGTATAGGAAATGCTAAAGTTGTACTGAGTGATGGCGAAAAAACTATCACTAATGTAGCATATATTCCAGATTTGGCGGCAAATTTACTCTCAGTTTCAAAAATTGTTGATAAAGGACTGATTGTTGTTTTTTCTAGGAAAGGTTGTATGATGTATCATGAAAATGATTGTGATATACAGGGTCAAGTAAGAATTACGGGTTCTGAATTCAATGGTACTTACAAACTGAATCAACCATCAGGTAATATCACACAATCTGTTATGATAGCACATTCTTCACATCAATCAGCATCAACAAATCCTGAAAAAATTGTTTCAAAAGACTTATGGCATCGTCGTCTAGGTCATTTGGGTCAAAAAGGGATGGAGCAAATCAAAGGTATGGTTCTTGGTGTTGATTTTTTCAATGATAAGTGCATGAGCCCTTGTATTGCCTGTGTTGAAGGAAAACAGTCAAGGGCACCACTTGTTAGAACCGGAAAAGCCAACAAGAAACGTGCAAAAGAATTATTAGGAAGAGTCCATAGTGATTTATGCGGACCTATGGAAGAAAAATCTTTGGGAGGGTGTGTTTACATGCTAACATTGATTGATGATCATTCTAGGTTTATTTTTGTGTATTTCCTCAAACAAAAAAATGAAACTATGACAAAATTTCTTGAATATAAATCTTTAGTAGAGAATCAAACTGATAAAACTGTAAAGATACTGAGATCAGATGGTGGCGGTGAGTATGTTAACAATGTTATGAAAGATTTTCTTAAGGAACAAGGTATCAAACATGAAATCACCATGGCTTACACTCCAGAGCAAAATGGAATAGCAGAGAGGACAAATAGGTCTATTTGCGAAAAAGCAAGGTCGATGATGCAAGATACAAGGTGTCCAAAAAGTTTCTGGGCTGAAGCATGCAATACTGCTGTCTACCTTAAGAATCGAAGTCCACATGCATCCACTCAGGGGAAGACACCCATTGAAATATGGACAGGAGAAATACCCAACTTACGGCATCTAAGAGTATTTGGTTGTAAAGTTATGGTGCATACTCCTAAGCAGAAAAGAAAAAAATGGGATGCTAAGAGTGAACAGCATGTGTTCGTGGGATATTGTGATGACTCAACAGATGACAATTGCTATAGATTATTAGATAGTGATAATAAACTGATCAGATCTAAAGATGTTATATTTTTCGAAAACTCGTCATTTTTTGAGTTACCACAAGTAGAATCAAATACGCTCGAAAATGAGGTACTGATTCTGGATGAAACGGTGCAAGAACGTCTAACAGATCCTGATGTACAAAGGATTGAAATATCAGGAAATGCTGATTCTGAGCACTCCATATCTGAAGGTGAGTCTTCTTCAGTTGTTGGGACTGATGTAAATAGAGCAGGAGATGAACCTAGTGATATCCTTGTAGACGATATAAATGTTGAACGCAGGTATCCACGTCGAGAAAGGAAAACTAGAGAATTTCCAGGCTATATGGTCTACAGAACAACTGAAAATAACATGCATGATGATGATCCAGCTACAGTTCATGAAGCACTGACTAGAACTGACAAGCACAAATGGCTTGATGCGATGGCTGAAGAATATAATTCAATACAACAGAATAAGGTCTGGACACTTGTTGAAAAGCCAGTAGATGTATCTCCTATTCCATGCAAATGGGTCTTCAAAGTAAAAAGAGATGCAAATGGTGAAATTTGTAGATACAAGGCGAGATTGGTTGCCAAAGGTTTCAAACAGATTCATGGTATCGATTATGATGAAACCTTTGCACCAGTTGTTAGAAAAGAGACAATTCGAATGCTGATAGGTATTGCTGCTGAATTACACCTCTCCATTGATCACATGGATGTGAAAACTGCATTCTTGAATGGTGATTTACAAGAAGTGGTATATATGAGACAACCCGAAGAATTCATCGACCAGGATAATCAGGATAAGGTGTGTTTATTGCACAAAGCCTTGTATGGTCTCAAGCAAGCGGCCAGATCATGGAATAGAAAAATTCATGAGGAATTGATCAGGCTAGGATTCAAACAATCTGCTCATGAATGTTGCATTTACCATAAAATGACAGAGAAATATAGTCTGATGATTGCTATTTATGTTGATGACTTATTGATCTTCTCGAGCGATGATAATGAAAAACAAAGAATCAAAAAGAAATTGATGTCAATTTTTGATATGCAAGACCTAGGAGATGCGAAATATTGTTTAGGAATCCATATCATCAGAGATGGAGATAATATTTCGATAAATCAGAAGAAATACATTTTAGAAATCCTTGACAGATACAAGATGATGGACTGTAATCCTGTGAAAACACCCATGGAATCGAAATTGAAACTATGTTTTCCTGAAACTAGAGATATACCGGATGTGCCATATCAGAGTCTCATTGGTGCACTTATGTATTTAGCTATATGTACTCGACCTGATATATCTTTTGCAGTGAATTCATTGAGTCAATTCAATTCGAACTATTCAATCGAACTGTGGAAGCATGCAAAGAGGATTCTAAAATACTTGAAGGGAACTATCGATCAAAGTTTGGTATTCAGGCCTACTGGAATTAGCCTTATGGGTTTTGTTGATGCTGATTGGGGTGGAAATGCTATAGATAGGCGCTCATTCAGTGGATTTGTTTTTGTTTTTGCTGGGGCTGCAATTTCTTGGGGTAGTAAGAAACAGCGTTCAGTATCTTTATCCAGTACCGAATCTGAGTACATTGCACTATCAGAAAGTGCAAAAGAGGCAGTATATTTGCTTAATTTGCTAGGAGAACTCACAGAATGTTCTAAACCAATGATCATTTATAATGATAATCAGAGTGCCATAAAATTGTCAACTAATCCTGTTTTTCATAGCAGGACTAAACATATTGACATTCGGTTTCATTTTATTCGTCAATGTATTGAAGATAACAACATAAGTCTCAGATACATGTCAACTAGTCAGATGCCGGCCGATATGATGACAAAAGCATTGTGTGGATCCAAACATAATGATTGTATGAAACATATTGGTTTGCTATGATATCAATTTTGTAGGTTGTATCCAACGAGATTAAATGTTGAATTAATTCATTACAGGGTGATTATGTATTCCTAGTTTAAGGGGTAGTGTTGAGAATTATTAAAATAGGATACTATGTATATGATTTGTTACCTTGACATTGATTGTTATTGAATAAATAGTCTTCTTGAAATACAAGACTTGTCAGTCATTCCCTTATTAAAAATCTTCACTATTCATCTAAGAATTAACAAGTTCATCAAATACAGGGTGGCTAACAGAGGACAAACATTCATACTAATAATGCCACAGTTTATACATACAAATATAATGTCAATATGTCAATAGTCAAGATAATATCAGTAATGTATAAAGATCACAATATTATGAATCGTCAGATTCACATGTAAATAGTAAATTTATTAATTCTGTATATTTTCAGTTGTTATCGCCTACTGCATATGGTGGAGAACTATGCGTCTTCAAGAAGTAATTTCCTCTTGCACTGAAAAATAGAAAGAAAAGGTAATGATGAATAATTCTATATTATTCTCGACCATGTGTTGATGAAGAATGATTTGCTAGGTTATAGGTTTCTCAATAGAGTGAATGCTGTTAAAAGTTTCATGTGAATAAACTATGAAGCTCAGTTCTTGATAACCAACACACAACGCCTGGTCGGTCGATATGAAGGTGCTAAAATCATTAATATTGTCAAGGTGATTTTCGAACGGCTAGAAATGTACCGCAATCAAGAACTGACGTCATGATTTCGTAAATAGGGACCACAGAACTCAAGAGAGTTCTGTGGTAGGGACAGACCATGACACAGTTATTATATACTGAAATAAGAAATGGAAACTCCAGGAATGGAATTCATTCAATAATTCATAAATCCTCAATTATGTTTTGGTGATATTTTTGATTAGCGAAGAAAAATCCATTGTCTTGTAATTTTCCCTCTCATATGCTGTGTGTTATTGCATAATATGATGAATTTGTGTTAATAACAAATACATTAATTCACATTAGAGGAGAAATGTTTCAGTAAACGTGACAACAAAGGACTGTGGGCATTGTCTTGTCAGTTCTCAGAGTTCAGCACAGCATTGCCAAGTCTCTAGCCTAGCTAATATTCTTATGTTGTTTAGTTATGGAGTGAGAGGAATATTTTAACAAGCTAGTTGCTCGAACTAGTCACAGATAATATACAATTATATCTTGACTTCTTCCTGTTTGGTCAATTGAGGTATTTGATTTGGACATAATTCGATTCAACGACAGGGCTTCAACAACTTTGTAATGACTTGATTATAATTGGTGACTTGACATTCTTATTTGATGAGCAGGGATGGAAGATTATCTGACCAACGATGAAACAGCATGAGAACTAACATGACAATATTATGATAAGAATACGGCATGTTCCAAATGAGCTCTGATGGCAAAACTCGAATGATTGAATGCCAATTATTCACTACCAGTCCACTTGCTTGATCTCTCTCACAACCTACGGAATTAAGAACCCACGACGAAGCCAGATCAACGATAAATGAAGATCTTGCCAAATTAGGAGACTGAGGAACCAAGGAACTAGTAGATTTCGAAATTATTGATACTCTAGCCTGCTTCTTTCCTAGAAAAGTGAAATTCAGTATGCTTGATATAACAATGTCTGGTACCACTATTCCCACGAGGTCCACCGTATCTTTTCTCGGTATTTTCATCTCAAAAATACTCCGTCATGGAAAAATTATATCAGATCCTTTGCGAAAGCTGTGTCATGCATAAATACTACTTTCCACTAAACATGAAAACATTACCTGAACATAAATGTTATAATACATTATTACTTTGTGATGTTATTCAGAGAGATTCATAATGTCACAGATACGTTGCGGCAATGAGCCTTTGTTCCTCTTTTGAAGATTACGATGTGATGTTAATGGTGAATATCAAATAAATATATCAGGAATTATATTGAATCAGTTAAACTTCATAACGTATCCAATGCTCCTCAAAACATCTATATTGCATTAACTAATTATCTTCAGGAGTTTTTCGGTTATGTCTATTTTTTCTGGAATCATCTAGAGAATCATCTGAATGATCTTTAGAAAAGAAGAGAAGATGATTTATCCCTGAATATAAATGTGTGAATAGATGTATCTTGTCGTACTCCTGAAACAGTACTTATGAGTATAATCCCTTTACACAGTAATATCTTGAGACAGATCAACTTCTATCTTTCTGCGTATCATTTTAGTCCGCTATATTGGATCCGCCATTTTGAATTTCCCAATTTTTGCCTCTCATAGTAACATTCTTCTGACAATAACAAACAACAGAGATATATTTAATAAAATCGGTCAATCCGTTTACGATTCTATGAAGGACATACAGACAAACATTCATTTTTGTATATGGAAAAGAAGAGGAATGAAAAAATGGGATGAATTTTTTCCGTTCAATGTTGCCATTCCTGACAGAGGTGACGATTTTAACATCTCGCTTCCACCGTTAGATTCCTTCATATCTATTCTACAAAAATAGTATACCTAATTTCAATCGATTTCCGTTCTAGAGAAAATCGCATTTCAGGAATTTTTGAACATACATCCCAACTGTTTCGAAGGTATAGGTAATGAAAAACTCCAACTATTCAATAACATCATGGTAGTTGCAGTCATCGTCATAATGGACATACAATTATTTTGACAGTATTCAATACTTGAGTAAGACCACAGATGCGTTTAGTTATGAAGTACGGACTTGCGGAAACTCTCGAGGTCAATCACTCCGTAACAAAGTGAGATAGAATTTTTTTTTATATGAATTACTAACACTATTTTGCCTCACTCTATTAGCTCTATCATCTACTACGTGACCTTTCCGGACACCCTATACAGAAGATTTTCTTCTCGAAGAAAATGTCTTCTCTAAACTGTTGGTCCAACAAAAAACTGACTCATCCCAATATACTTTATCGCCTAAAAGATTATGTTTATATTTTATTCCAATGAAGCCAAAGAGCTTCTCCACACTACTGCTATACATGAAATACTCACCTCTTGTCAACCTGGTACTGGCCCATAAACGACTTAGACTGACCATTACATCTACCGTTCTCATAATCAGTGTTATTGTCGCATTTGAGAGCCACGAAATCACCAGTCGTCAAGGATTCAGCATAGTAAAAGAAGGCTCTATTGTGGCTGCACCATCCCGATGTATCTGATTCGCATCCAGGTTGGTCACTTCCACCATTGAGGAAGTAGTCAGCATGGCCAATGGCTTGTGAGAAGCCTAATAATCCGGCGTTGGTGTGGATAACCTGGACGAATTTGGCGTCACTGGTGTTCAGACGATTTTCAATATTGTCGTAGAAAAATTGTGCACCCGCTGGATCCATACCTGAAGAAAGCAATGATCGTCAACTTTCTTCACTATTTCATGAAGCCTACTCTGAGAGTAACATAGTACTCACTGGTTGGATCATCAAAAGTATCGAAACTCCTCTTTCATCCTTTGAAATTCTCACAAATGAGAGAATTTGAATAAAATGAATGAGTCTTCCTGGGAAAGAAGCCGATGATCTGAGATATCGATCAACTTCAGCAAAATGAATCTTCAAATAATAACAAGGTACAACTGGTATTGGGAGTCTGGACTGGCATATATTCCACTGCGGCAGTTCTGCTCATGTTGGGTTACCCCGAATCATATTCCACATGAAAATAGCTCTGGTCAAATTTATTATTGAACTTCATGACTTTGTCAAGAGATAGTTGGTCCATGTTTTCCAGGAAAAGTAATTTCTGGTCCTATCACAGTGATCAAATCCAATTCTAAAATATAGATAACATATTAAGTTAGAACAAAAACCTCTATGCACTACATTGGATGATTTATTGTTGTTCTCCGGATGGAATAAGTTTTGGCAGTGCTTAATACTACGTCATACGCTAAAGACTAATTCTGGTATCATGAAAAGTGGAGTGGAGCTTCGTGTGACTTTGTATTTTACCACTTTCTCCTTCAGCCAAGGCTCTAGACCAAAGATATTTTATTACTCCTCTCTGAGCTAGTTTACTGATGGTTCCATACTCACTGGACTGCTAAAAAAGAAAAATCTACATCATAGCGAAAGAACAATGAGAGGATATCTAACAGGGCATTGGAAGCCCAGAGAACACCTCAGGAAGGATGCCTAGAGGAAAATGACACCTGCATTACTTGTAGGTTCTGCAAGGAGTATAATTTTGTGCATCGAATTTGATCAGATAGATAGTTGCGAAATATTGAAGGACAAAATATAGAAAGAAGATACCTGAAAATTGTTCAATCTGGAACCTCCGATGCTTTCCTAGGTAGAACATCATATTGGCTAGAACTTGATTCCACATTAGCCCAATATTCGAATATTGTAAATGAAATCATTATGACTAATTTTCAAATCTGATATTCAATAATCGACCCAGTGCCAATGTTGCAATATCATTTAAATGTGTTCACTAGCCGATATTTATTTGTCAATATATATTTGATATTGGCGAAGAATCAACGATTACAATATGTCAAATATCTCAATGTGCTGATATTGTATTCTCAATATCGAATCAATTCTGGTTAAAAATATAACATCAATATCAGATTTATGATGGTTAGTGAATATTGCATTTCATTGTCAAGCAATATTGCACTGATATTGGCTGATGTTTAATATATAAATTCGATATAATGAAAATGATATCAGATCTATTTCATTTTTGAATCGATTGCAATATATATCGAATCAATATTATATTACCTAAATCTTATATTATTTTGGGATGATGATCGAATATTGCATTATATTTGCTGCGAACATTATTTCCTTGTTTCTAATTCTTATTTAGCGAATATTAGTTCATCAATATTAGACCAATTTCAGATGGACATAACTTGATGAAATATGTTGAGACCAATATTGCCCTGATATTGAATTCCTTATAGCAAAGCGATGTCATAGTGATATTTTTATCAGCATTTGAGCTATGTTATTCATTGTACCTTTTGTATTGATCTTGAGTTTGTGAATTAAGTGTCTAGATGTTTCTTTTTCGTTTAGATCTGATGACTGTTTTTATATAACATTGACTTGTATATTAGCTTTTGCTAAATAAATAATGAATTATTATTACAGCTGGCGCCACTAGCACGTCTCCAAAAAAGACTGCCCAGAGGCATTGAATAAGATACTGCAACATTTGTTTAACATGGTATTCTGGAATACAGAAAACGAAAATGGATCTGACATGTTATACTAATATATTATTAAACCAATATCGCTATTTTTTTATTGAGGCTAACATGGCTTCGAACTTCAAATTAGAATTCTGTAGTATAAAATGAAATATAATATTGACTGAATATTATAATTTACCATAAGGATTTTGTTGTAAAATGATCGCATCCTCATTTTGGCCAATATAGTAGGCAAACATAAATTCAAAGTCGAATTAACACATCAGAATTATAAGAAACCAGTTTCTATAACTAATAATAATAATAATAATAAACGGCTTTATTCATAGGAATGAAAAGGCGAGGTGTCACTTTACAGTGTTTTTCAACTTTGCCTTAAAAATATGTGAATATAAAAAAGATAATGTAAATACATATGAGAAACTGAGAAGAAAACAAAATGAGAAAAGTAGTAGAGTCCAACTTAAACTAGTCCTACTCAAAACTAATAGTTACTATAATGTGTACAGTATAATATGAGCATTAAAACGATTTCTTTCAATTATTGCCATCCCATATAAACATATTGTCTCAAGCTAAATCATAGATGATATTCATCAACAACAATGTATATATATATATACACCTATAATATACACATACATATACATACACGTATACACACACATATACATAATACAGTACAATAAAAGAGAGAAACCTGACTCAAATACCATAAACAAATGCTGTGGGCGTCACTGAAGAAACATGGCTTCAAGAAGAGACATTTTGAGTTTTTTTTTGAAGTTTAAAATGGAATAATCTTTGAAATGTGTTGGTAATGAATTATAAAATTTTGTGGCATTATAGGAAAAGCTGCGCTTGAAAATAGCAGAGGAGTGTTGTGGGACAACTAGGACACGTCTATTTCTTGTAGGGATGTTATTAATATTTTCAAATTGAGTCAATTTTTTCCTCAGATATGACGGACGATTAGTTTTCAGAATTTTGTGTACGAAGGTTAGGAGATGAAGGGTTCGTAGGGATGACAAGTTCAATTTGTTGGTGGTTCTAAATGCTGGAGAGATGTGGTCGAACTTCCGTATACCAAGCGCAAATCTTAAACACGAGTTCTGGATACGTTGTAATCTGGTATGATCTCGATTAATTAAGGCAGGGCCATAAATGCAGTCACAATATGCTAATTTTGACATTATTAAGCTTTCACATAAAAGGAGTTTCAAGTCGCGATTCAGAATGCTTCTATGAGGATAAAGTGTTCTTAGTGTACCATATGCAATTTTACAGAGATGATTAACATGCTTCGAATACCGCATTTCGTTGTCAATCCACAAACCAAGATTTTTTGCTTCATTTACCACAGGCAACATTTCATCATTGATCGCAAACGTACAACTTTGCATAATCATATTTCTCATCTTTTTTGGACCAAAAATCAGGACTTTAGATTTTGCAGCATTGAGTTTTAAATTATGAGCCGACGATATATCAAACAGTTTCAATAGATCGCTGTTGATTGCATCCGCGGCTTCATGGCAATCATCAACTACTACGCATTTGTCCAATCTTGTGAACGATTATGAACTCGATATTGTATAGAGCATATCGAAACAAGATTCAAATCCAACATAACACCAAGATCCAATAATATTGATTCATTGGTCCTTATTCGAAATCGATATTTCCCCAACATTCACTCTACATATATTGGTTCAGTTTTCAACTGATATTAGTGTTCTATCTAGGTTGGTATATGTGAACCGATTTGTACTTGCTTCACTGAAAATGGAAGCTCTCATTAGCTTCTTCCTCCCTGCATCAATCAACATTGCGAAATCGCATTTTCAAAATTATAATGCCCTATAACTTCCCTGCAACCAACACTGATTGACTGGGGTGGTATAGAGTATGTTGAACTTCTCATTGGAAGAACGTTTGGAGTGGTTTGCATATAGGACAACTATGACAGTTATAGAGCAAGATCTCATGAATGCCAGACCAAAATTGAATGAAATATAGGCTGTATCATTTGAAATAATTGACGCGGAACAGATGATTTCAACGTGGATCACCCTGTATAATCAATTTCCCTGTATGAATCTGGCTAATTCTAATCAAAAGTTGACCTATCTCAGAAATTGATAGTTTGACTAAAAATTAAATCATTCAGTACTTTACTGGCTAGGTGTTCTGGTTTATACTTCAGCGAGAGTTAAGTTACAATTCATCAAGGTTTGGGGGTGACTGGCATCAAGAGATAGCCACCATGGTAACGTGTCTGGTAGTGGTTGACGTGGTTCCTATTATGATCCCTAATTGGAAATAAAAAAATCATCTTTCATTGTATTATGGAATAAAGTTGGCATTTTTAGTACCTTTGTCTGGTAGTGGTTGACGTGGTTCCTATTATGATCCCTAATTGGAAATAAAAAAATCATCTTTCATTGTATTATGGAATAAAGTTGGCATTTTTAGTACCTTTGCTTTCTTTAACCTCCCAAAGGCACCATAATCTAAACTTCATATTTGCCCATCGTTCAAACCTGTGTTGGGATCATGCGCTGAGGAACGAAGGTCTGGCGTTCATGGGAACTTGGACTGAACAAAGTTTCCAGGTGTCAGTTTGTAGTATTGACCACCAAAGTTATTTCTCACCTATAATTACATCACATTCACTGCCAACATGGGCGCAAGCTGCACCAGCAACATGGGAACCCAAAGAATGCCCAGCAACAGTCGTCCTGGCTAGACTCAATCCATTATTATCTACGAGCCTCTTTATGAGTTTGCCAAGCAGTCTCCCAACTTCAGGAACAACCGGGAATACTACCTCAAAATCCTTGCTGGCGATCTTGCTCCAGTCCACGGCGAAAACATTGAAGTCTTGGACCTCCAAGGCGGCCTTAGAGACGGTCCTGATGACTGGTGAATTGTATTGGTCATGCCATCCGTGGATAATGATCAGAGTGTTCTTTTCTTCAGAAAATCCTGCAGATCGGATCCCTTCGCTGTCATTCGTATAAATTTCGATGCCTTCAGCTGATCCATCCCGAACGTGGAAGTATAACTGGATATCGGATTCTTGAGGATGCTCGGATGTAACTTCTCGTGTGACGTCTTCTATATTATGTTGACCTGGAGTATTTCATGGGGAATTAGGAGGGTTATACAAAAGGGGATTGTTGAAGTAAATATTTTATCATGTAGACATATAGGATATTATCTAAGTATGTGGCTAAACTTCAAGATGCGATTGTTTTGGTGATTCTAAGATGAAATATTCACACGAATAGAGATCCTGAGATGCTATATACGTTCTCGAGATACAGCCTATCGAAGTTCGAAGTATTGATTGTTGTTTTTCAAGATGACCCTATATGCGCTCTCTCATGATGGCAACATTTAGTCTGTTTAGTGACTGAGAAAGTCTCAGGATTTTAGAATGATACTAATTGAGGGGATTATGGGTTTTCCCTATGGGTGTTTTGAGGGCACCCACAATAAAATTTGGAATCGAATCAATTTTTTATAATTTCCTCAGCAACTTAGTGATATACCAAAATTCATTGATGGATAAGAAAGTTGAAGTTCCAATTGTTCAATTCGATAAAAATTTCGAAATTGGAAAAACTATGACTCATTTATCATAAATATCGGAGAGGAAACCCACTGCACATCACGTCCATAAGACGTCCTCTAGAACGATCACAGAACGTCTCTGAAACTTTCAGTGGACGTCGCCTGAGATGTTCATAGGATGTCCTTGGACGAACGAATTAATCTTGACTTTGAATTTAATTGAGTTTTCCTAATTCCAGATCTTGCATGGAAGATGTGAACATCCAGGTGAGTTGATGGTCAGTAGTAGGTCCTCAGTAGATCCTGAAGAACGTTTCCAGAAGGATATTGACGTGGAGTATTTATAGCCTACCAGCAGTCGATCGTCGGCGAGGTGTAAGTGAACGTCCTCGCAGGGACAACATCTCTCGCGTAGCGACTGGTACATCCGTGAGACAATTTTCCTAGGACATTCAAAATTATCATTTGCTCGCGTCAAGAAAATTTATATTGGATGTCTGTGTACTTCTTGGGACATCCGATGAGTGTTCCTAAAGAAAAATTCGAAATTATATCATATCAGGGAAACGTTAAGGACGTCCTGGCATGGACAGACTACTATGTATACCACGTGGAACGTCTAAAGGATGCTATTTCTAGGACATTTGAAATTATGTATCAGTTCGGACAATCCATGGACTTCCTTGTTCGGACATTGCATGAGACATACGAAATGGTGCTTCCCAAAGACAATTATTTTGGGTCCAAGACATTCGGACTTTGGATTGTACCAAAAAGGAAAGTCTCCAGGAGGTTGCATGCTATTAGGGGAGCGTCATATGATACTGTTAAGAAAATCACTATAAGTTCCATGGATTTGGAAAAGAATTGTGAGTAATTAATAAAAAGGAAATTTTTTATTGGAACTTTCACCCCCTGTATCTTGTGGAAGAAGCATTTCTGGACCGTCTTAAAATTATCCAGATAATCACTTCTCGAAATTTGCCCACGAACTTGAATAACATCCTGTATATAAGAAATTTAATGGAAATTATGCACACAGTTTTCAATAGTATGACGGCAAATGGACATACAGGATGTTTCATTAAATGTTGGCCTCGTTGATAGTGTAGGTAGAACACTTATATTTTGGGTTTACTTTGTGAAAAATGTAAGTAATGGCATCCGTTTCCGAAATACATGGTATTGAATGAATTATTCATTATTTAAACACATTTTTCATGATTTTGTCGAAACAACCGGCAACATAGGTATAATGAAATGTTATATGCATGTTGTATGAATTCGTTTTTACAAGGACGCAAGTTTGTACAAAAATTCATGTGCACTTGAACATCATTCAATTTCACATCAAAAAGGTACAATTATCACCTTTGTTGAAACACACACTGTACACTAGACAAACTATGTAGTATTATTCCTCGCAGCCGAATGATATTTGATTTTGAAGTATGATGCTACTTTTTGTTTATGTTTTTACTACGTTCATGTTGAGTTATTGAGTTATTGACCAGTGATCATGTTTATGAACTAATTTAGCACATGATAATGTCTTCAAATTTATTTATTTTTTCTCCCACTTTGATGTAGTGAAATATTTTTCCATGGTGGGATTAAATATATTATTGTAGAAATACTTCATGACTCAATGATTTGATATTCATGTTTTCTCCGGTTGTTTCCTATATACTTTCCCAAATTGCAGCAATGAGTTCCACTCATCAAAGTGTGGATGGAATAGTACCTACAAAACTGTTTTATTCCTATTTTGATAATTGTAGCTTATAACTGATGAAATTTGTAAAAGTACAGAAAAACGCCTAGTGAAACAGTTTCATTACAAGAGGAGTAGAAGTTTTGAATGAATAACGTCAGAAAAAAGAACGGTAAAATGCCTTTGTTCAGTAGAAATAATAGTTACGTTATTGAAATGCTAATTGAAACACAAACGTTTCCTTAATACGATGAACATTGTGTAACGTAAAAATGCATTATTTTTTAAGACATTCAACGTTACTGGTAGGATCTGGATACTTCATTGTGCTCTATATCATAACGATACATGTACCTAATCAAGGTTACAAGAATGCGATGAAACTGGCATGACTTTTTGCCCATTGGGTATTCAAGAAATTGCTTGTTAAATGAAGGTAAATCATATACGTATTAATAAACAATACGGATCATAACTTGTGCCAGGATGAAGTCAAAAATATGAAACAAATGAATATCCATAAGGATTTGGTGGCATGATACGCATGCGCCATGCGCTATTATAGTAGTCATCAAAGACATGCGTTTCGGTGGACAATGACGTTCACTAGCCTTTCAATCACAGCAGTATGTGTCTGATCATTTCAAAACTATTCCTTATGGATAGTCATTTGTCTTCAAAAATCGGCTTCATGTTTCGCTATGGAAACAGATAGAGATTATCCGTATTGATTATTAATACGTATATGAGGTAAATACCTTAAAACGTTGATTAAAAAGTCTTCACACTAAATATTGAAAGATATTTCCATATTCTTCTAGACAGAAAAGCAATTATTCAATCAGTTTTGAATAGTTCTACAATAATCCCTACTTTCTAGCATTCATGACTCACCAGATGGACTAGCATACGCTGAATAGAAAACAATAAAATAAAAAATAATGCCCTTCATTATGATCGCGTTTGATAGACTGAGTTCTCCGAAATGTTCATGAGATTTAATATAGACTTGATTACTTGAGACTGATTTTATATGATATGCGGTTGATCATGAACGTCGCCAGGAACAATTTCAAGGGGGAGCAGAAATTTGTACTTCCAGGGATGATACCATGAATTCTCGCAATGCTATCGATAGTAATTTTGTCTGAAATCAACGAGATACAATAAAACGAGGGGTGCTAATTCGAAGCAATTTGATCGAGTTCATGATTTCTGACAGAATTTTCGATAGTATTTGTGAGCATGAATTTTATTTATTGAGATAATTCCGCGACCTAGAGTAGCGTTGAATAGTGTGGAGTAGCGTTTATTTCCATCAATTTACAATTTCTCGATATTATTCCTTCTATAGTATATATATATAAGATTATGCGATATTGAACACTTGATATTGATATACAGTGTGTAGAAGGTATTAGGAATTCTCGGTTTGAATTTTCAAATTTTTTGTTGAGCCCTGGTTTGCTGAAAGACAAATTTAGTACATAATTAGTGTTTTACCAAGATACCGAATTTCGAAATTCTGCCTACTACCCTGGATCTTGATTTCAAGCAATTTTTTCGATTATTTTTTGACAAATGAGTGTGGTTGAGAATCACTGAAACAATTTTTTAAAATTCAATAACCGTATAGTCGGACGAGGAAATCTGTAATAAGAACAAAGACGAAACACATTGAAACGTAAAAGAATACTCAGGTAATGGAATTTCTAGATAAGAAAGGGCAATTTCAATGTTCAATCAAATAAATATAATCTGTTAATACATGAGCCAGGATCTCATGGGGGAAAGGGGGGCACGGCCCTTCAGATCTGCAGTGGCGACGTCCATGCGGTTGATTGATGAAAAATGATTTGCCCCTATCAATATAATCACTTCAACTGAGTTATACGTGAATTTCGCGATGTCATCTTGAGAAAATATGTTTGCCGACAAGGGCATTTTAAGATTTTGATAATCAATGTAAATGCAAACGAACTCAATCCAAAATACGTCTTCTGGGGATTGTTTAGAAGGTTAGATAGAATTGATATCATCGAATTGATTGCAGTCAGTGGCGGTTCAAGAAATTCCGGGCAGGGGCTAGAGGAGGGAGCACACCTTCGCCAGGCGACAGAAACTCAGTAAAAAATGCACAGGTATTTGAAATCATACTGTATTCATCACTTGATTGATTGATTGTTCAGTAGCAGAATGATGAGTCAGGGTTCGAAGCCCAAAACAATGCAGCCTTTGGGCCTATTGTATTCCTGATCATGCTGTTGACTCAGGTGAACAGGTTCGCTACCTTGATAAGGTTTAGCAGATTCTTCACCAAATCATTCGTTGAAAAACCCTCTTGAGAGTTTAATGCTCCCAGAAGGTTGTATCTCCAACGCGCTAGTGCTTCGCACTCCAATATCACATGGGTGGCAGCTTCCTCCTCCTCATTGCATAGTCTGCATATGGGTTCGTCTATATAGATGCCCATTTGATGCATATGTTTCCTCAAGGGGCAGTGACGGTTATTAGTCCCGTCACTTGTTCGATCTGACTTCTGTTCAGGCTCAGAATGTTATTCACTGTTCTGGACAGTGTTCCAACCATCAGTTTACTGTCCTGGGACATTGTTTCAGTATGCCTGAAGTCTTTCTTGCATCAACCTTGCCAGCCAGCTGCGTTTTGATGTTTTGGGAATACCGAACACAGATTCCGGTCCCATAAACAACGTCGCAGACCGCCGCGTCAGCTGCTTCATTGCCTTATGCCCTGGCACTCATTGAAGAGTTACCTTGTCGTGGTTAGCCAGGGTTAGCAGGCTTTGAAAACAATCCCAGACCAGTCTTGATCTGATTTTATC